ATTTTGGTGGCTGTCCCTCAAAAAAGAAATTGAGAGCTATGTGGCTAGCTTCCCCATGTGTGTTTTGGCTAAGAGACAACCAGGAAAACCCATGGGATTGCTGCAGCCAATAGCAAATCCCCATGCACCTTGGAAAGAAATTTCTATGGACTTTATAGGAGAATTACCTGACAGTGCAGGAAATACCACGATTTGGGTAATTACAGACTTGTTCTCAAAACAAGTCCATTTCATTCTATGCCCTAAGATCCCATCATCCCGCACCTTGGCCAAATTGTTTGTGCAACACATTTATAGGCTCCAGGGTGTCCCTGATCACATCATTTCAGATCAGGGGTACAAATTTGGCGCAAATTTTTGAAATTGATGGGAACCGCTCAGGGCCTAAGCTCTTCTCACCACCCCCAAACAAATGGGGTGTGTATGAGAGAGTCAACTCAGTGCTGGAATATTACCTCAGGTGCTACATTAATTATCAACAGGACAATTGGACAAATCTTTTGCTGTTTGCAGAGGTGGCATACAAATAATTCCACACGTAGGAGCACTGGATTTATTCCTTTTAAGGTCAGGATTTTATAGCGATCTCCAAGCTACCACTGGAGAAGCCCCAAACCCCTTCATAAATGGAGTAGATACAACAATTGCAAATCACATGGCTGGTAGCACGCAAAGCATTGGAAGAAAAGTGGGAAGCTTACAAGCAGCAAGCCAATAAAAAATGCACAAAGCCAAAAGAGTTTAAAGTAGGCACCAGCATATACCTTTCCACAAAGTATATACAGTCCACCCAACCATCCAAAAACTGGGCCCCAAATACATAGGCCCATTTTCTATTATCAAAATTATAAACCCAGTTATGTTGCAACTAGAACTGCCCAAAAACCTGAAGAGAAACCACCATCTTTCACTTTAGCTTACTAAAACCAGAATTCACCTCTCCCCTCCATCAGCAATCTCCCTCGCCACCCATCCCTATTTTTATAGAGGGAGAACAACACTTTGAGGTAAGGGATATTTTGGACTTTCAAAAATACAAAGGCAAAGTGCAATACTTAATTGCATGGAAGCCTTTCCCCGACTTGCAGTCCTAATGGGTTGATGGACACTACATTCGAGCTGCCAAAGTCCTACGGTCTTTCCACCAGAAATACCCCAATTAACCATGCATGCCAAATCTCACCTAATTACTTAACAGGAACCAGAGATGCCAAACAGAGCCATCTGCCTGCCCTCAAGACACCAGCCCTAGGAAGGGAATTTACAATGGCGCCTGAGGCACCAGGTTCTCAAAACTTTGGACCAGGACTGGATTGGACTGCTCTGGCCAGGGGGAAGGTTTTGGACATTGGGGATTGTTTTCAATATACGATTTTCACACAGTTTTCCTTCAGAGCATGCCTTGTTCACGCTGCACTCAGTATTTCTACTAAAAGTATCTTTTCTCTAACATCCATGGAGTCAAAGGAAAAATGAGTCTTGAGAGTTAACAAGGTTGATACTATATGGTATAAAGTTATTACAGAATCTAGTTGTTCTGCTTTGGATACCATGAAGCTTCCTCTCAGAAGGTAACAAAGAAAATTGGTCATGGAGAAGATGTGTAACATCCCTGACAATATTGCAGACCCTGGTCAAGCAGCGCTTATATGCCGTGTCTTGAATAGAAGTGAACATCTAATAATTTTTCTGCCGTCCTCACCAATCTCAGCACACCCTTCCTCTCCAAAATAGTAATATATCCAAACCACACAGTAATACAAGATGCTTTCAATCCTTTATAGAAAATGATAAGGCTAAGGAAAGGAAGATCTACACTTCTTATCTAGTGTGATATATAATATCAATAGAAGAGAATATAGCTAGCTCAGGGTTGAACTGTGGAATCCTTAATGCTCTCTTGGTTGTTTGCTTGCAAACATTTCCTTACCAGTTTAAATAATATGAGTGAGTGATGGGTGGGATTTGCTTGCCCTGCTACTGATGGTGGGATGTAGTTTTTCTTTTTGATAGTTCCTTAATTAAGGTACTGTTTCCTGCTTGATTGTTTGCTTGTTTATCTCAGTAGTTCCTTGATACGGTATTATTTTCTGCTTAACTGCTTCTCATGTTAATCCTTAATCTCTTTACTAATCACACATATGTGAAAATAGATGTTGTGTATTCATGTTTGTGTGTACATTTACCTGTACTGGGAATATATATATACAACATAATACTGCTTAATCTCACAACACATTGACAGATTCAACCATAGCTAGACCAAGCTAAATCCCAAAACCACTCGGGAATTCCTGAAACCTTGACACTCAGACAAATACGCCATCAATACATACATAGGGATAAACTACATTTACATACCATTCAAAAAAACCAATAAAAAAGCTAAGAAGGAAACAAAAAGATCAGAACTCATTCTCTCTAGGACAGGTAGTCCTCGACTTGCAATAGTTCATTTAGTGATCGTTAGACATTACAACAGCACTGGAAAAAATGAAGACCATTTTTATGACTATTGCAGCATCCCCTGGTCACGTGATTTATATTTATATTCGGATACTTGACAACTGACTCACATTTATGTTGCAGTGTCCTGGAGTCATGTGATCATCTTTTGCAACCTTCTGACAAGCAAAGTCAATGGGGAAACCAGATTCACATAATAACCATGTTACTAATTTAACAACTGTAGTGATTCAAACTTGGGCTCAATTGTAGTTATAAATTGAGGACTACTTGTAGTCAAAAGCCAGATAGGCATGGATTAACATCAGACAATAATCAAGCAGAAAATAACTTAATCAAGGAACTTAAAACAACAACACCACTCTTTCTTGACATTCTGATCAGAAGAAATGGCAACAAATTAGAAATACAACTCTATTTAAAACAGCCCATACTATCCAACTGCTCCATTATTAAAGTAACAACCAAACCTCACAAGAAGAACTGTGTAAAAACATTATTCAAATGATCCCAAATGCATTCCAGCAACCCAAAAAAAGGAAAAAGACTGCCTATTCCTCTTCCAACAAAATGGATACCCGTTCAACTTTATTAAAAAGAAAAAAGCCTGACCCCTCAACGTACTATAGCACTACCAACACTAGCTATGAAAAGGATAACACTGCCACACATCAAAATATCTCAGAAACAACCAACAATTATAAACATACAAAATAACTAAAGCTCTCCAAAACATAAGTAAACCAAAAGACCCAGTAGCCCAAGAACAGGACTTACCTACAACATACATTGTAAGGACTGTAATAGTCATTGTGTAATAAAGACAAGAAAGACGAAACATTAGAACATATCCATGAGCACCAACCAGCAGTCAGAAGACACAATCAAAATTCCTTAGTGTCACAACATACAGATAGACTCAGCTGGGAAACTGAGCATACCAGACTAAGCTATATTCCCCAAAGCTAGGGAATTCCTAGAAGTTTGGCACTCTTGACATATCAGCCATCAATAGACACAATAAACCACATTTACACGCCATTTAAAAGAGACAATAAAAAGGCTAAGGAAACAGACAGAGCACAACACATCCTTTCCTGCAGCCAACAGCCAGATAAGCAAGGATCCTCATTGCACTTGTGTTGGAAGGTGCTTCCAGGTTGAAAGGATTAGCTGCTGACATTGTTGCCCAGGGAACACCCAGTTGGGGGTTCCTTTCATGTCCCCAGCATGAACTGGACAAAGGATAGATCACCTCGCTCCATGGTAGCACTCAGGTATCGAACACAAACTTGTTGCTTGTCAACCCAACATCCTAACCATGCAAGCCACCATGCTCCTAAGGAGGGATTAATACCAGATGAAAACAATCAAGAAAAAAACAATACCCTAATCCAGTGGTTCTCAACCTGTGGGTCAGGACCCCATTTGGGGTCGAACGACCATTTCACGGGGGTTGCCAAACTACGCAGTCCACCATTTTCCCCTCCTTTTCCTTAGCTGTGCTACTCCCTTTTATTCTATTGGCTTTTGAAAGCCAATAGAATAGACTCTCTTGAATAGAGTCTAATTCTATTGGCTTTCAAAAGCCAATAGGAATTGTCCAGGCTGTCTCTGCCCTGCTGAGCCCGCCAAAAGTCCCATTCTGCAAACGGTGCTGCACCAGTTGAGTAGTCCTCGACTTACGACCGGTTGGGGGGTCGCGGCATTAAAAAGGTTGAGAACCACTGCCCTAGTCAATGAACTACCAATATAGTTCCTTCTGATGTATGTTCATGTATCCTTGTGATATATGCTCATATGTGCTCATTCCTTAATCACACAACACATGGACAGTGTGCACAGGATATGTATTCATATATACTGTTCATGCATAGTATGTTCATATATTCTTCTGATAAATGAATCTAGTCTGTATGTTTAACCATGACTCTACTATTTGATAATTAAATCAACCTGCTTATTAAATAATAAACTCAAAATTAAAAAAATAAACATTCTGCCATAATTCAGAATCAATAAAGCTTATACCAAAAATAGTTCCCCCTCTCAAATAGAAGGTAGATTGTCTTTCAGTCATGTTCCCACCTCTGAAAATCATGAACAGTTTAGAGATACTGATATACTATCTTAATTCATAAATAATTAATACTGCAGTTATATTTTGATCATATTTCCCAAAATACTATATGAAACTATGTTCCAAAAACCCTAATTAAAGCATGCTATTTTTAATTAATTGCCATTGTTTAAAACCAAAGGGGAAAATTAAATATGCTTAATTCAGCTTTAGATAGAAGCAAATAATAATGTATACCAATTGGTGACCTGAGAGGAGAAAGGCCGTATTTATAAAAGTGCATTCATTCTCTTAGAAACCATGTTACGAATCATAATATACTGTATATGCAGAGATACATTCAGCTGAATGAGTAAAACCTATGAGAATCTTAGTAATTATTATACGAAAAAAAAATTAGAACAATCATTAACTGCAAGTTCTGAGGCGAATGATTCATTAAATATTTTAGTACCTGGAAAGCTATAGCTTGACTGAGACTATCAAGTGCAGGATCTTCACCCTCATCTTCACTTTCTTCTTCTTCTCTAATAACATAAAGGAAACAGAAAAACCCACATATATTGAATTGTATAGAGTAGGCATTTAAATCAGTAAATTAGAATAGGAGTATGTGTTATACATATTTTACTCACATTTCTTCTTCTGGTTCAATTACTTTCTTTCTTTTCTTTTTGTCTTTCTTTTTGGGAGGTTCACGCTCTCCTAGCATGTTTTTAGGACATGCATAACTTAAATGTCCTATTTCCTTAAGAGAAAAGAAATACTATTGAACAAGGCTAGCAGATGAAGAATATTACTTTTTAATTCTTCATAAATTTACCTTGTAAATAGTAGATTTGTATTCATTTATAATTACTTAGAAAATGTAGCATTGTATGTAGTTTAAAAAGTTATCTGAACTGACTGTACCAATTCATAACCCAAGTATATGGTTTCAGTGGATGGCATTAGCATAAGAACATGACAAAAACAGATATCTTGTTGGGACATCAACATTTACTCACTCCACATTCATAACATTTTGACTTGTCATAGTAATTTCTCCTTCGGATGAATTCTGCAGCTCTTCCATTATCAATAGCGATACTTGCTTTTATTACTCTTCCAAACAGCTAAAAAAAAAAACCAAATACAATTTTAGCATTCAGAATATCTCAAAAGTTACTTCATAATATATCCTTGTCACTTACTTGTTTATTATTAAGTGCCCGAGAACAGTTCTGTGCTGACTCTTTATCCAAGAACAAAATAAATGCAACTCCTTTACTTCTTCGTGTGTCTTTGTCTTTCATAATTGTAACTCTAGAAAAAAATACTGATATGTTCACATACTATTAAGACACAGAGAGGCAAGCCTTATTGTTATTCAGGTTGCCTAAATTAGTCTCATTCATTTCAAATTCCAGCAAAACGGCAGCTATCAAAGTAAACACAGCATGAGAACATCCATAAAAGCTACTCATGAAACTCAAATCATTTCCAGTAAAGGATAGTAGAGAAATTAAACATTAAACTCAAAGAATAGCCCTTATTGACAATCGTGATATAGGAAAAGTGTTTCTAAAAACAGAGACCTGACAATAAATCAATTACATTCATGAGCTATTTGTGAAACTCCGTATTACAAATGTTTGCATGAGACTAAGATCAACAAGTAAATTGTCAGAATAGGGCAGGCATGTCAAACTTGTGACGTATTGCGACTTTTTCCCCATTGCCAGCAATGGGGTGGGCACGGTTTCAGTATGATGCATCCAGCCCGCGGCCCAGCAGTTTGACATGCCTGGAGTGGTGTGTGCCATTATCCTTTCTCATAAAAGCATGTTCTTTCAGTTTTTCCTCTCAAATAAGATTAAAATAAAAATCCATAATAGTAGTGCTTATAAAATTATTAAATCTGCTTGACAAATTCTTATTTCAGTTGTTTAAATCTAGCGTTGCTGGAATGTAATAAGGAATGAGATTCTATTGATATAAAAATCAGCCTGTTTATTGCCTGATGTAACACCTTTGTCCTTGAAGATACTTGGCACTCCAAGAATTTTGGATTTGAGAAACTTCAGCATTCAATTATTCAATGTAGTTCAGGATGTGATTGCTACTCGTGACAGTTGTAGGCCTATTTAAAGTCATAGATAGCCAGACACAGAATAATCTATTATCTGGATTTCGATTTTAGAATTGATATGGGTGAAAAGAATACAGTTTATATTATGGACATAGTATCTGATCATTTCCCCAAAAACCTCTAAAAGGATGGCTCTATCAAATGCTTCCTCAGTGGTGGCGAACCTATGGCATGCGTGCCAGAGGCGGCACTCAGAGCCCTCTCTGTGGGCACGCGTGCTGTTGCCCCAGCAGAGTTCGCCAGAGTAGCGAGCACATGGCATTTGGAAATGACAGGGCAGGAAGAGAGTGGCAAGTTGTGTTGGCCCCCTGGGGATGCCCCAGAGATGGCGAGGGACTGGCCCCGGCCACGCTCACCCAGTCTGCCATGACCACTGCAGCTACGCCCACCCAGTGGGCCACACACCCCGCCCCCCTGAGGGCACCACAATGCTGATGCAGCCCTGGCTCTTTGCGATAAATAAGTGAGTTTTGGGTTGCAGTTTGGGCACTTGGTCTCTAAAAGGTTTGCCATCACTGGGCCTGTATCTGCCTGTATACACACACACACACACACACACACACACACACACCAAGAACATGCCTTTGCTGTCTTTTTGCTATAGTATGGCACTATGTTTTTACAACATAACACACTAAATGTAATATAAATACCATAACATAGAAATGGTAAAATAAGTACTTTTGAAGATTTTTCCCCATAGAAAAGCACAACCTATGAATAGAATATTTTCATGGCAAGTTCATACCAGATGTGGCAGTTAACATTACAAATGAGCACCTGTCTTCGTATTCTATTACAAAAATTACACATGTGAAAAGTTCTTGCTAAATTGAGGGTGTTGGTATTATTACACTCCACATTAAAGAATAAGCTACATACAATTTGATATTTATACTCACTTAACTACTTTCCCATATTTTGAAAAAATCTGAAAAGAGAGAAAAAAAATGCAGTTACTTACAGTGAGGGAAAAAATTATTTGATCCCCTGCTGATTTTGTACGTTTGCCCACTGACAAAGAAATGATCAGTCTATAATTTTAATGGTAGGTTTATTTTAACAGTGTGATAGAATAACAACAAAAAATCCAGAAAAACGCATTTCAAAAAAGTTATAAATTGATTTCCATTTTAATGAGTGAAATATGTATTTAACCCCTTTGCAAAACATGACTTAGTACTTGGTGGCAAAACCTTGTTGGCAATCACAGAGGTCAGACGTTTCTTGTAGTTGGCCATCAGGTTTGCACACATCTCAGGAGGGATTTTGTCCCACTCCTCTTTGTAGATCCTCTCCAAGTCATTAAGATTTCGAGGCTGACGTTTGGCAGTTTGAACCTTCAGATTTTCTATGAAATTAAGATCTGGAGACTGGCTAGGCCACTCCAGGACCTTAATGTGCTTCTTCTTGAGCCACTCCTTTGTTGCCTTGGCCGTGTGTTTTGGGTCATTGCCATGCTGGAATACCCATCCACGATCCATTTTCAATGCCCTGGCTGAGGGAAGGAGGTTCTCACCCAAGATTTGACAGTACATGGCCCCGTTCATTGTCCCTTTGATGCGGTGAAGTTGTCCTGTCTCCTTAGCAGAAAAACAACCCCAAAGCATAATATTTCCACCTCCATGTTTGACGGTGGGGGATGGTGTTCTTGGGGTCATAGGCAGCATTCCTCCTCCTCCAAATATGGTGGGTTGATGCCAAAGAGCTCGATTTTGGTCTCATCTGACCACACTCTCACCCAGTTCTCTGAATCATTCAGATGTTCATTGGCAAACTTCAGACAGGCCTGTACATATGCTTTCTTGAGCAGGGGGACCTTGCGGGGACTGCAGGATTTCAGTCCTTCACAGCATAGTGTATTACCAATTGTTTTCTTGGTGACTATGGTCCCAGCTGCCTTGACAACATCCTTCCATGTAGTTCTGAGCCGAATCCTCACCGTTCTCATGGTCATTGAAACTCCACAAGGTGAGATCTTGCATGGAGCCCCAGACCGAGAGAGATTGACAATTATTTTCTGTTTCTTCCATTTGCGAATAATCCCAACTGTTGTCCCCTTCTCATCAGGTTGCTTGGTGATAGTCCTGTAGCCCATTCCAGCCTTGTGTAGGTCTACAATCTTGTCCCTGACATCCTTGGACAGCTCTTTGGTCTTGGCCATGGTGGAGAGTTTGTAATTTGATTGATTTCTTCTGTGGACAGGTGATTTTTATACAGGTAACAAGCTGAGATTAGGAGCACTTCCTTTAAGAGAGTGCTCCTAATCTCTACTCGTTACCTGTATAAAAGACACCTGGGAGCCAGAAATCTTGCTGATTGTTAGGGAATCAAATACTTATTTCACTCATTAAAATGCAAATCAATTTATAACTTTTATGAAATGCATTTTTCGGGATTTTTTTGTTGTTATTCTGTCTCTCACTGTTAAAATAAACCTACCATTAAAATTATAAACTGATTTCTTTGTCATTGGGCAAACGTACAAAATCAGCAGGAGATCAAATAATTTTTCCCTCACTGTAGGGAAGTAAATTCTTCACAAAACACAGAAGTAAATATATATATTCTGATTATTCACACAATCAGATAGATTCAATTCTAATGTTTAATTTTATGGTACACTTACTCTGTACAAGTCATTGTTTGTCAATGAAAAGGGCAAATTAGATACATAAACTGTGCTTTTGCTTGGTGCTAATCCTCCACTCATTTTTTTCTAGAAACAAAAAAGAAAAAGTCATATGACTTGTGTACACCGCTTAGAGAGTGCTTGCACTTAAAGCGATATATATGTCTCATAAATAAATAAATAAATAAGTCTCAAACTTATTTAAAATATACAGGCAATTTCACAACAATCTTATTTGTCCTAAACATAATAGTGTTTAACAATGAAAACAACTATCATCTCAGAAAAAAGATGGTTACACTTTTTCCAATATTTATCTTTGGGGAACAAATTTCCTCCCTACTTTCTACATTCCTTTCAATTTATGCAAGGAAATAATAATCCTATTCACATAGACCTTGAGATGAGGATTCTAGTTTAATTGATTTTACAATATAACCAAATATACCAGCATAACTGGAAAACAACAGCAGCCAACAGGATGGAAGAAATCAATCATGCCAATACCAAACAAAGGAGACTCAATTGACTCTGAGGACTATTGAATAATATTCTTAATTTCACATGCTATCAGATAATGCTTAGGATCATCCAATGCAGATTAGATCCCACATGGGAAGGGAGCTGCCAGATGTCCAACCTGGATTTAGATGACACTAAAAAATAAATATGGTTACTGACGCACAACAGATAATTGAGAAAGCTGAAGAATACTTCCAAGTGGATACAGGTAATCCTCGACTTATGACCACAACTGAGCCCAAAATGTTGTTCTTGAGACATTTGTTAAGTGAGTTTTGCCCCATTTTATGACCTTTCTTGCCACAGTTATTAAGTTAGTAACCTGGTTGTTCAGTTAATCTGGCTTCTCCATTTACTTTGCTTGTCAGAAGGCCATCCTCCATTCCTAGTTCATTTGGGAAATAATACTGTTAGCAAAAGCATACATACCCAAATTCAATATTACTTATTAAAGGATTTTAAATGTTCCAATATTTTTTTATTTTGAAAGGGAAAGAGGACAAAGAACCTGACAACCTGCCTCCCCACTATAGTTTGGGAGAAAAGTAGCTCGAAAAATGAATGCACAGAATTGCAGACTTTGAATCAATTTCAATTCTTTTAAGATACCTTATTTCTGGTAATAATAAAAGGAATACAGATCACCGTTAAATAGTAATTAGAGGCAACCCAAGGTCCTTAACAAAATTGGAAGGCGCTTTTTGACTCAGGAGTTAGCTTAAAGGAACCCGACCACTTATTTCTCAGTGATCGGGTTGCTCTGACAAGAATGAAAAACAACTGAGGCACTAACTGTGCCCGACGGACGCCACTCAGTTGGGGCCGAAGAGGACCATCGGTCTTCCTTCCTATATTCCGCCGCTGCCTCCACCAAAACAGCCCGACTCTTAGCAGCCTCCCCTCGACGCTCTGGTAATGACGTGCGGGGTCGCTGTTGGAAAGCCCAGCTGGAAGAAGCAGAGCGCCCTCCTCATTTACACGCGGAGGGGAAGGAGCTATGCACCGGCAAGGCTTAACTTTCCTGCTATCCGCTGCTACTGCAGCGCCCAGCAAAGACGTCGCCCGCTTGACTAGTAGTACTTGGGCCTCCAACCGGAGGCGGGACTTGGCAGAGAAAAAGGAAAGTGGGTGCACCTATCGCTTTTCCGGTGGCGTAACCGGCGCGCCGGAAGCTTCGGGTCACACCACTGTGCAGCCGAGACTTCGATTTGCGGCGGGTGACTTGGCTGGGCTTCGGACCAACCTAAGCGTGCGCGAAGGGTGAGCATCCTGCCTTCGTGGGAAGCTTATTTCTGCTTTCCCGTCCTGAGCTGCGTGCTGTGACGGCTCCTCGGCGCTCGACCGCGGCTCAGGCCAACCCCACTGCCTCAGGAGGCTTCTTTTCCCGTTCATGCATGGATTTCCTCCTTTGTTAGCGCGCCCGGTGAATGAACTAGAAGGGTAAGAGCAGTGTTTGTCCGGAAGAGGTTGGCCTGAGCTCGTTCATTCGAAAGGGATGTCGGCTCGCTCAGTCGGATTGACTTTCACGTGGAGCTCCGCTTAGGATTTGGAGCTCTGGCCCGCTTTTGCCCTTTATCATGCTTTGGATATGACTTCAAAAAAGCTGCTTCGCGCAATTAGCAATTCAAGCATGTAGGCTAGTTCCCTGTGATGTAAGTGTATAATGGGTGGTTCTTTTATTCCTTCTACCCGCAATACTGTATATTTCCTTCCCTAATGAGGTAATTTAGTACGGTACACCAAACCTCGTGGCATAATATTCAGTGTTTGTCACTGACTTAATGAGCTGCCTCCTAAAAGTGGTTAAAGCGAACTCATTAGTCTCATAAGCAATGTTGTGCTCAGTTTGGGATTTTTTTTAAACTAATTCCAACAGTAAATAAATTGCTCCTAACTACTATTTCCTCATCCTATCACATGCTGTCAAGCAGGTAAAACCTTTTTTAAAAAAATATATTTTAGTTACAGTACTAGATTTCTATCTGTCATTCTTTTTCAGAAGCTAAAGCAATAGCCATAAATTCTGTGCTCCCATATCTTCTACTCACAACAAGCCTCTGCCATACATTGGCTGTGAGAAAATGACTGTCATCCAGGGAACTGGCATAGTTAAAGGTGGACTTGAATGGATCTACAAAGTCCAACACTTTTAACCACTACATCACAATAGGTGTTTTATTATTTTTCATTGCTGTTGCAAGACTCTTTTAAAACCCATTAAATTTCAGTATTTTGATTTAAAAATTACATTATAATAGGGAAAAATAAAAAAGAGGAGTATGAACTTTCTAATTTTTTACTTCTCACTATTTGCCTGGTCCTATATTACTAAAGAAGCTATATACATCAAGAATCAAAGGTAAAATCAGATGCACAAACAAATTTAGATGTAAGTATCTACAGTTCTGTGTTTTCTGTGGATTTGAGTCTAGGGCAACATTTCCATAGTGACTATTTAGCACTGTCATAGCAGCCAGTCATCACTGAAGTGATACAAAGCTTGTCTTCATTACAAGAATCCTCACTCATTGGCTGCTCATTTAGCAATTGAAGTTACAATAGCACTGAAAAAGGAGATTTATGATTGGTCCTTGAAATTGTGGCAGTCACAGCATCTTCCTGGTCATGTGATTTGGTTGCCCCAAGACCAACATACATTTACAATGGTCACAATATCTCACCATTTGCAACCTTCACAGCTGGTTTCCAACAAGCAAAGTCAAGGGGGAAGCTGGCAGGAAGTCACAAGCTGCAAAAGCATTTTTAGATTGTATGAATAGATTGCATCAGCGTTTGTATTACTGTAGGGAGGTGGTTAAGTTTTGAGCTTTAGCAAACCACTTTTTAAACATTCTAAACATAAGAAGCTGTATTTGTACACTATAGTTGTTTGGGTGGAATAGAAAGCCATGGACTACAGTATTTGCCATATTCTGCTCCATGAATCAGTTGAAAAAGGTATTCAACTTCTGACTGGAAAGGATGACTGATTTGGATGTAGCACAAGGTCCCTTGCATACGTATCATTGTGTTTATCCCAGTAAAGTGTATTTGATTATTCATTTGGGAGTTTTATTATTGACCTTTTTTCTAATGTTGGTTTTTTTAAAAAATGCAGGCACTAATTGGATTGGGATTAAAGCATAGTTGAAAGAAGCACAGAAGTAAGTAGATTTTTTAAAATGTCTTTTGACAATGAAGTAGAATGATGTCTAGTAGAAGCAAATTGTGCTGTTTAAGTTGATTTTTATTTTTCTAAATTCTAGCTTTGTGGTTTGATCATTGCTTGTTAATGATAGCTTGTGGCTAGGATGGGAGCTGATAAAGAATTTTGTTCCTTTAATTGAATTCTGTTCAAATGAGTTTTAATTCAAGATGCCAGATTTTTGAGATATGGGAATTATAAGAAGGGTAGGAAAATAACTTCCATTTCTGAATACTGAAAATGACACTCAGAAATATTTTGTCTCTAGTACAGATAGTCCTTTAGCAATTAGGATTGGAAACGTGGTTGTTAAGCAAAGTACTTGTTAAGTGAAACTGCTATTGTGCACATGTTGTTTTGCTTTATAGACTTCCTAAAGTTGTCAATCAAGGATTGGTCATCAAAATACTTTTTTCATTACTGTCATAATGTTGAATGGTCACTAAACAAGGAAATTGCTAAACAAGGAATAGCTGTAATTTCCTAAACTAGGGGTGCAAAATCTATGCGATTAAATCATTAGGCATGCCCTTTGAGTCCCTCCAGTTTGATGACAAACTAATTTGTAAAGTGATACTAAAAAAATGAAAAACCACCTCAGTCTGCAACAAAAGTTACATATATCATTTTAAAGGTCACGTGAAAATAACTGCGTGCTTTTTAATTTTTACAGTGAGATACTAGATTTCTCCTCTATAATATTCTTTTTATGAAACCCTATTAGGTAGTCAGTTAAAACAAATATTCTGAAAAGGCTTGGCCTTTCAATACTTTATGCCATCCCTTGACACTATGTTTTTGCAATTCATCTAAATAGCTTATTTATCTGCATCTTAATGATTTATCTAAATGAAAGTACTGCTTTATGATTGAGATAAATATTCAAATACTACTCGCTATATAGGTAGTCCTCGAGGTACGGGTGTAATGGAGCCTGCACATTCCATTTGTAACTTAAAAACTTGGAGTGAATCTCGTACCTTGAACGAGATCACTCCCTTGCTCATTAAAATGCACTCGGCTCGTTAAGTGCACATGAGGCATCTCAAGAGTGGGGAACGCCATGGAGGGGCGTGGTGATGGAGTAGGCCCCCAAGAACTCCCCAACCCACTAAGATACTAATGCTTCCCCCTCCCTTCCTGCTGCGCCCGACTTAACTTGAAAAGATTCGTCTCCTCTCTGCCACGGTTTCTGCCTTTGAGGGAGAGGAGAGTTGATGGAAGCTCCTGAGTGCCCGTAATATCGCATGAATTCAGGCACCGATCCTCTTGCAGAGAATGGGATCCTGAACTCTCGTGTTTGCTCCCGCCCCCAACTCCTTTCCGCCACTGCCAGAACAATTTTCACCAGGATGGAGACCTTGGAGAAACTGGAAGGCTCCGTCTGCATGCAAATGCACGCTTAGAAATGGACCGAAACGCTCTGTTTCTCAAGTGCCCCACTGGCAGCCACATGGAACTTCCAGTCTCTGTCAGGTCTCTGTCCACGTAAAAAGAGTTTGAGCACCTATGGGGCACTTGGAAACCAAGCATTCGCTTCATTTTCAAATGCTCCATGGAAACACTTTTTATCCCAATGGAGACCTGAAAAAGACTGGAAGCTCTGCGTGACTGCCAGTGCATGCTTAGAAATGGAGCAGAAGGCTCCGTTTCCCAAGTACCCCATTCCAGGCATATGGAGCTTGCAGTCTCTGTCAGGTTTCAGTTTGGATAAAAAGTATTTTAGCACCTATAGAGTGCTTCCAAATGGAGAAGGGTCTGGCTCTGCCTGTCTCCCTCGCTTCCCCAAAGCATCCCTTCACTAACCTTTCCAGCTCCGTTCTCCGCCACTGCATGCAGGGCAACAAAAGAAGCCTGTGGGACTACTGATAAAAAAAAGTTCAATCAGTGAAGGAATGTGGTGCCCTGGGGTGGGGGTTAGGATTTGGCATTGTGGATGCCCTGAGGTGGGGTGAGGGTTAGGATTTGGCATTGTGGATGCCCTGGGTTAAGATTTTGCATTGTGGATTGTGCAGTGTTTGCGCTCTAGTGGGACTATTCAAAATGCAGCGAATCTCTGCATTTTGAATAGCCTCATAGGTGCTCAAACACCTTTCATCCAAACGGAGACCTGAGTCACACAGAATTTCAAGCAGTCACACGGAGCATTCCTTTCTGTTTCTGAAGTTCCCCACTGCAAGCACATGGACCTTCCAATCTCTCTCAGGTCTGCATTTGGATAAAAAATGTTTGAGCGGCAGTAGCTTGAGTTTCTCCACTCCATCCCAAAGCAAGAAACCAGAGGCACAGAGCAGGATTGCTCTCAAGAAGATGGAGGTGCTCTTCGTGCACTGGCCTTATTGAGAGCAATCCTGCTCTGCGCCTCCGTTTCTTTTCACTCAGAGGGAGCAGAGAAACTCAAGCCCTGGCCAGGCAAGGACTAGGTCGGGCAGAGTGGCTGGCTGGGGAGGGCAATCATGGCCACTTAGGTGGCTGCTACTGCTGCTGGCTTGGATGCAGGTGCAAGGGACCTGGCCCCGTGATGCCTCCCCGCTCAGTTGAAGGGTTTGTTCCTGCCATCAAACTAAGGCTGGCGCACGTGAGTGAGCAGCACACCCGGGCCACAGAAGGCATTAGTTCTTGCGCCTGACCAACTCCGATTCTATGCTTTGCCCCATAGACATGCAAACGAAGCAAACACTCCCCCCCCCCCAGAGAATGGAAGCTTCCGGAGGCAATGATCTCTTTTCCAGAGAATTTGTGTTTGAACTCGCGTGATATTACGGCACCCAGGAGCTTCCATTGTCGACGCAAAAAACATTTCCAAGCCGACTCGCCTCTCCCTCAAAGAAAAAGAAACCTCGGCAGAGAGGACACAGATTTTGCAAGGTAAGTGAGTCCGGCACAGCAGGAAGGGAGGGGGAAGCAGTTGTGGGGAGTGGGGAGAGGAATAGGGAATATTGCAGAGCTTCTGTGGTTGCTCGTAAGGGCAAACGACTGGTATGGTGCTGCAATAGTTGTAATTTTGGGATTTGCTTGTAAACACTGGGGGCGCTGATCACATAATTTCGAACGAGCGTTAAGTGAACGCTCTTAACTCGGTGATTACCTGTACTTGATGTGATATGTGGGCAGTATGAAGCTAACTGCATGGGTATTTTTATATGCATTGTAAATATACTTTCATCCATCTCTTGAAACTATTTTTTAAAAAATATATTTTATTGGTTTTATAATTTTAACAAAAAGTATTTAAGACACACCGCAGTGTTCGGGTAAACAAAGATTCCAACATAAAATCACACAAAAACAGCTCAACTTAATACATTCGCTATCATCTCTCTATTTCCCTCAAATAACATAATAAATTTAATATATTTCATTTCTATCATAAGTTTCTATTACTACTAAACCTGTTTTTAAAACTATCAATTTCAATTACCATAATCAGATAATGTTTTACATCAACATATTATCACTTCAAATATCTCTTCCAAATATATTCAAGCTCTTAATCTCTATCATCCCTCTTTTTATCACCAATCTTATTTATTTCTTCTTCCAATAATAACTAGCTTAGTTTAAAAAAAGATAATATTAAACCTTGCTTCATTTCAATTCATTACACCAACTTCAAATTCCATTCAATTAATTATATCTTATCAAATTATATTATTATACACAAAAATCTCTTAATTAATTAAACATTACACATGTATATAGTTATAGTTTTCTTACTTCTAAGTCTAAATCATTATCCTTAACCTTTCCGCCTGTAAATCCATTTTTGTTGCTTGTAATAATCTTTAACTTAATTCATTTCCAATCATTAAACAAACCAAATTCCATCCAATTAATTATCATACCATATCAAAACATATTATACACAAAAATCTCCTAATTAATTAAACATTTCAAAATTCCAGTCTAAGAAACTCAACATTTTTTCATTTTCAGTACATAATTTCCCTCTAAATCAATCTATTATTCCAAGAAGTGCATTTTTAGTCTCTATAAAGCCAAGTTTCTTTTTTCACTCCACATTTAACTTTCATATTTCCATACCAAACAAATTTCCATAAAACAAAAAAAATCATCAAACTAAATTAAACACACATGAATATAATTGTAGATTCTTACTTCTAAGTCTAAATCATTATCCTTAAAACTATAGAACCAACATTGCCTTTTAATCCATTAAACAATTTTAAATTTTCTTTTTCAATCTAATTCTAGGTTTTCTTCTATGCCACACAGGCTTCCATAGCAAAGCTTCCCTTTCAACCAATGAATCCATTTTTGTTACTTGTAGAATTCTTTGAGAAAGCAAAATCCTTTCTTCTGCAATAAACATCTTTTCCTTTTCTCCTTGCCACATCGTTGCTTTATAGTTTCAAGTCTTAGTCTTTGCTTCTTCTGATTCTCTAAGTTGCAGAAGAAGGGATTGTCAAGTAAAATAAGTTCCTCTACTATCTCTAGAGATTCCTTTTCTGGTATATTTTGATTTATACCATAATCAGATGTAGCCTGGAGATCACTTTGAATAGATGTAGTAGAATCTCTAGATCTTGGTTCTAAAGTACAGTTTTTAATTGTAGCACATATTTCAGCAGAGGCCTCATAGATCTTTTCCAATATAAGTGCATAGTTCAATTATAGCTGAGTCTCCATTTTAGATACTAATGCTTAAAAGAAGATCTCATTTTCTTTTTGTGGAGGCTATATTTAGTACAAACAACATCCACCTCCACAGCTTCCACAGCTGCACATCTTATCTTTCCCTCGAAAGTGTTTTGAAAATCTTTAATAGAATAGCCAAACTTGTAGTGTCAAACCTTCGCCAGTAGATGTCCTCAGTGAATTAGATAAGGTCTTTCCCAACAATCCATTCCTTTTTTCTGTCTTTTAAAGTATAATAATATACAAGAAAATAATAATAATAATAATAATAATAATAATAATAATAATAATAATAATAATAATAATAATAATAATAATACAGTTCATACAAAGAGGGAAGAAAGAAGATCTTTTCCGTCTTTTTTCTTTCTTTTCTATCCAAAGGGGAAAAAAATATAAAAGTAAAATATATAGTCTATTTCTATGTTTACAAAACGCCTTTCTTCTCAACAAATGCAGAAGCTGCCTTTCCAAGTCAGGGAAATAATTTCAAAAGCTCTTACAGGTCTCAGAAAAAAAAGAAAAATAGAAGAGAGAGAGTTGAAAATAAAGTTCTCACCTGGGCTCACCACGGGGGCACTAACAGGTTAGATGTTCTCTGACTTACGGTCTGAAGCGGCAGGGCGATCGGCCATTTTCCTGGCCGATCTTCTTCTCCGTTGGCCCTCGGAGATTCATCCAGACAGCTGGAGGAGCCGCTGCTCCTCCGCAGCTGGACAGCAGCCTCCTTGATGGAAAGTCGCACCCTCCAGGGCAATTTTGGACCCGTATAAGGGTCCACCGACGGAGGGAAAACTAGCCGGCGAGGAGAGAAGTCTCTCCGCACGACTAGCGACACCGCGCACCGGAACCGGAAGTCCATCTCTTGAAACTATTGATATGCAAGTGACTGAAAGTGAACTAAGAATGTAGATTTGTAGATGAATCAAAAACGTTCAGTTGTAGGTATTAGAAAAACAACTTTTAATATAGAAAATATCCCAATTGCAAGTAAAAAAGCTTTAGAAAGACTGTAAACCTTAGAATTTTCAAAACATTTTTGTTCATTATTAAATTTACATCTTGTTACAACATTGAAGAAGCTTACAAGTATAAAAAGTAAAGTACAAACCATAATAAAATTAATGCAGTTAAATAAAATAAAATAAAATTCAATTCAATCATGAAACTGACAATAGCTTGGTGAAAGAAATGAATTTTTCCTACGTTCCCAAATGCTATGAGAGTAGCAGCCAAGTATCCCTCCTTAGGGAACTTATTTCATTGCTTGAGAATTATATAGCATAGCATAGAATTAACCTGGAGAAAGGTACAAGAGAATTGTTAAGTAAGAGATGACACAATTTAGAGATAGCAGGAAACATGAGAAACTCAAAATACCTCTGCCTTGGTTTTATTTAATATAAGAAGGGACAGAGAGAAACTTGGATAGGTTTTCAAGATTAATGTCAACCCTTCATGATAGGGCATATCAAGAAACAGAAGTCATAGAGATTTCAGGAATGCTGCATTACTGTAAGGATTTGATTATGGATTATCATTGTTGAGTCTGACTGGTTTAAAAGGGTCATAGACATATTTATGCAACTATCCTTACCACGACAACAAATATAAGAAGTCAAGCAGTACTTCTTTATACATTGGCCCATTTATCAGCAATCTATGTTTTTTTTCCTCACTATTGTGGCAAATATCTACACTCAAGAAAAACAGAAGTACCATGAACCAAAGTCATGCTCAAATTGTATTTTACTGATTCTATCTGAAAGTTACTTGGGCTGCAGAAAATAGAACTTGAGTTGTTGTTAGTTGCGAAGTCGTATCCGACCCATCGCATCCCCATGGACAACGTTCCTCCAGGTCTTCCTGTTCTCTACCATCTTCTGGAGTCCATTTAAGCTCACGCCTATTGCTTCAGTGACTCCATCCAGCCACCTCATTCTCTGTCGTCCCCTTCTTCTATTGCCTTCAATCTTTCCCAGCATTTGGCTCTTCTCCAGTGAGTCCTTCCTTCTCATTAGGTGGCCAAAGTACTTGAGTTTCAACTTCAGGATCTGGCCTTCTAAAGAGCAGTCAGGGTTGATCTCTAGGACTGACCGGTTTGATCGCCTTGCAGTCCAGGGGACTCGCAGGAGTCTTCTCCAGCACCATACTTCAAAGGCCTCAATTCTTTTGCACTCAGCCTTTCTTATGGTCCAACTTTCACAGCCATACATTGCAACTGGGAAAACTATGGTCTTGACTATACGTACTTTTGTTGGCAGGGTAATGTCTCTGCTTTTTAGTATGCTGTCTAGATTTGTCATAGCTTTTTTCACCAGGAGCAAGTGTCTTTTAATTTCTTGATGCAGTCCCCATCTGTGGTGATCCTGGAGCCCAGGAAGATAAAATCTGTCATTACCTCCATTTCTTCCCCATCTATTTGCCAGGAATTGAGAGGGCCGGATGCCATGATCTTGGTTTTCTTAATGTTGAGTTTCAAGCCAACTTTTGCACTCTCCTTCTTCACCCGCATCAAGAGGCTCTTTAGTTCCTCTTCACTTTCTGCCATTAGAGTGGTATCATCTGCATATCTTAGATTGTTGATATTTCTCCCAGCAATCTTAATTCCAACTTTTGATTCATCTAGCCCTGCCTTTCTCATGATGTGCTCTGCATATAAGTTAAATAGGCAGGGCGACAGAATACAGCCTTGTTGGACTCCTTTCCCAGTTTTGAACCAATCAGTGGTTCCATGTCCAGTTCTCACTGTTGCTTCTTGACCTGCATATAGGTTTCTCAAGAGACAAATAAGAAGATCTGGTACTCCCATCTCTTTAAGAACTTACCACAATTTGTTGTGATCCACACAATCAAAGGCTTTAGCATAGTCAATTAAACAGAATAGATATTTTTCAGGAATTCCCAAGCTTTCTCCATGATCCAGCATATGTTGGCAATTTGATCTCTAGTTCCTCTGCCTCTTCGAAATCCTGCCTGTACTTCTGTTAGTTCTCGGTCTACATATTGCTGGAGTCTAGCTTGTAGGATTTTAAGCATAACTTTACTTGCATGTGAAATAAGTGCAATGGTGCGATAATTTGAACATTCTTTGGCATTGCCTTTCTTTGGAATTGGAATGTAAACTGACCTTTTCCAATCCTGTGGCCACTGTTGAGTTTCCCAAATTTGCTGGCAAATCGAGTGTAGCACTTTTACTGCATCACCTTTTAAGATTTTGAATAGCTCAGCTGGAATACTGTCACCTCCACTAGCTTTGTTGTTGCTCAGCTTTCCTAAGGCCCATTTCACTTCACATTCTAGGATGTCTGGCTCGAGGTCAGTGACCATCCCATCATGGTTATCAGGAACCTAAGCTCGTTCTTGTATAGTTCTTCTGTGTAATGTTGCCACCTCTTCTTAATCTCTTCTGCCTATGTTAGGTCCCTGCCATTTTGGTCCTTTATCATGCCCATCTTTGCATGAAACGTTCCCTTCATATCTCCAATTTTCTGGAAGAGATCTCTGGTTCCCCCTATTCTATTGTTTTCTTCTATTTCTTTGCACTGTTCATTTTAAGAGGGCATTCTTGTCTCTTCTAACTATTCTCTAGAATTCTGCATTCAGTTGGGTGTCTCTTTCTCCCCTCCCTGTATTAAGGTGCTGTAGGGCTTCATAGAACCGGTCAGTTTCATCCTCTTCAGCACCAGTGGTTGGGTCATAGACTTGGACTCCTGTGATATTGAATGGTTTGCCTTGGATTCGCACTGAGATCATTCTGTCATTTTGGGGATTGTATCCCAGTATTGCTTTTCCTACTCTTTTATTGACTATGAAAGCTACTCCATTTCTTCTGAGGGATTCTTGCCCACAGTAGTATACCTGATGGTCCTCTGAATTAAATTCACCCATTCCTGTCCATTTTAGTTCGCTGATTCCTAAGATGTCGATGTTTAGTCTTGTCATCTCTTGTTTGACCACGTACAGCTTGCCTTGATTCATGGATCTTACATTCCAGGTTCCTATGGAGAAAAGATCTTTACAGCATCGGACTTTCCTTTCACCACCAGATGCATCCATAGCTTTTGGCTTTGGCCCAGTCGCTTCACTCTTTCTGGCGCTACTAGTACTAGCCCTCTGTTCTTCCCCAGTAGCATATTGGACACCTTCTGACCTGAGGGACTCATCTTCCAGCATCATATCTTTTTGCCTTTTGGTACTGTCCATGGGGTTTTCATGGCAAAGATACTGGAGTTGGTTGTCATTTCCTTCTCCAGTGGATCACATTTTGTCAGAACTCTCTGCTATGACCTGTCCGCCTTGGGTGGCCCTGCACGGCATAGCTCATAGCTTCATTGAGTTACACAAGCCCCTTCGCCATGACAAGGCAGTAATCCATGAAGGAGAGAACCTGAGTAACCTAGCTCAAAATTATATAAATAATATATTATTTTTTAAAAATAATGTGCTGGAGATTATTTACCTATTTTTGATGATGAATAAGCTAAAGGAAAAATCTTAAATATCTCAGCCATAGGATATTTAAAAATAGCTACTGCAAGTTTTGCATATTAATACAATGTTTAATGATTAATAACTATAAATAATACAGTATTTTGTTTAGTTCATGTTATAGTTACACAAACATATATCTTTAATATCTATTTTTAGTGGCATATAGAAGAGATGAAATGTGGTCTGAGCGGTATGAATATGAAAGATTACCACGAGAAAGACTTCCTCCACGTCCTGATGTAAGCAGATTGCTAATAGCTATGGGGTTGTCTTTTTAATCTTTTTAGCTGTTGATCGGGAATTTAAATTTATGATCTCAAACTTAAGGGGATTACAGTACCCACATGGATGGACATTCAATTAAGAAGCCTACAATGATTCACAGTGAATACTGTGTTTATAAAGCTTTTTATCATACCTAATATGGTCCTTCTTAAATACTAGTGTTGTGCTTGGTAAAATGCTATTTAATAGAGCTTTTAACTTGATCGTGTGAGTCACATACTTATCCTACAATAGACAAGTGAGAAGGAGAAACAGATTTTTTATATCCAATCTGTTTCAAGTGTGAGCCCTAGGAACAACTACTTCCTAACTCCTTTTTTTCCCAATTCACAGCATTCCCTTCCATATCATTGGATAATAATCGGTATAGCATCCCGCTCTCCCACCACTTCTCACACATACACAAAAGTTCCTTTTAAAATTTGAGAAGGAACAGAAATCCTAACTCCATCCGTGATCATTATGTGGCCTTGCTCACTTTGCTTCTCCTCACCCACAGTTGATTTGTTTATTTGTATCCCACCTTTATTATTTTTACAAATAATTCAAGACAGTGAACTTATCTAGCACATACCTTCCTCCTATTTTCCCCATAACAACAATTCTGTGAGGTGGGTTGGAGTGAGAGTGACTGGCCCAAAGTCACCCAGCTGGCTTTAATAGCTAAGGCAGGACTTAAAAGATACCTTAAATACTAGACCAAACTGACCAAATTGTTCTTACCAAAAAATTATTAATTGGTCTGTTGCCTACCCATGGTTTATTTGTTGGATTCTAATGTAGATGAGCTGAGCTGGGGCTTTTATTTTGATTTGATTTGATTTAAAAAACAAAAAACAAGCTTCCTTTCTCCAAGGCATTGTTTCCAGCTGCGTCAAAATACTACTGCACATTGTAACCTGTTTTATCAATATAAATGGAGGTATCCCTAAGCTGGACAAATACAGGTTCCCTAAGGGTCTGAAGATGAAGGTGAAATTAGTGAGGTAGTTATTACAAACCCAGGCCTGTACCTTATTTTGGGTTTGATTTTTTTTTAACTGCATAAACTAATTGTTTTCTCTTTTCAAATGCAGAATTTCCTCTTTCATTGGATAGCTCAGAGAAGTCTCAAATTTGTACCACCATTCTTTGTATTCCATTAGAAAGTCTATGTTTATTCAGGATGATGGCAAAAGCAATGGTTATTTTGTACAGAAAAAGATTCTTTTGTTTTATATGCTCTTGTTTTTCCCATATATGCTATCATTTTAAGCAATAATTTAAATTTGAAGTCGATGAAGATGAAGTGTTCAAATACACATATGAAAACTTAGCAAAAAATCATTGTGGTCAGTTAGCAGAAAAATAGTTGAATTTTTAATTTTAAAATGATCTGATCACACTACACTGGTTTTCTGGGCCAGCTTTAGAATCCCCATACACTTTCTTTTAAAGTCTGGCAAATCTTATTTTATTTTACCAGGCTTCTTAAATTTATTACTCATAAATCACTTAATTTTCATAGTATTTGAATTTGTTTTTCTATCATAGGTTTTATTAATATTGTAGAACTTCCATCCTGAACAAAATGTTGAAGGTATGGCATAGAACAGGGGTCCCCAACCCCCAGTCCATGGACCACCACCGGTCCACAGCTTACCAGCAAGTGGGCCGCACAAACAAGCAAAGCTCCATCCTTGGGATGCAGGCAGTATTCAAAACCACACTCCCTCTGGTCCGCAAAAAAACCTTTCTCCATGGCAACGGTCCCTGGTGTCCAAAAGGTTGGGGAACTCTGGCGTAGAATATTTGTAAATTCCTTTAATTTGACCTTTATGCTAAGAAATGGTAGCTTGAAAATATTTCCGAATTATTGTGCTTACAGGGTATGCAGTTTACATTTGACAGCATAAGAATACAAGTATTAGCATTGCTTTTGAGGTTGTCTGCTCATTTTTACTGGGTGTTGGGAAAACTTTGGTCACTTTTCTGCTATGTTTGCATAGTTATGAACCAATTATACTTTGCCTTATATCTACATATGGGTACTCATTTGGTACCACTTAATATAATAAGATACCTCTGCAGCTGTCCAATTATTTGAAGTTTTGTCACTTGCCCTGAAGTGAACAAAACTGAAAGACCACAGCTATACAATAAGTGCTTCCAAATCTTTCCTCATTCAGAAACGTAGGAAATAATGTGTGCAGCTAAAATTCTGCAGTAAATGTAATTCCTTGGAATTCTATTGGACGCTGAACTAAGCATAAAATTAGAATGTAAATATTTTCTAATGTTTGTAAATGCAGTTACTTAAATGAAATCAAAAGCTGTAGTAATTAGAATATAAACTTAGAGATGTAGGCTTACTTCAGGATAAAAGTTTGTTTGTTTGCTATATCTCTTAATTATTTTTATAGGAGCCAGAATGCTCTCCATTTCAACAAGTTGGATTTTGTGTGAGATGGAACAGGATATACATAATTCTCTTAGTAATCAGTTAGTAACAGGATGCAAAGAAAAGCAATATTACAATTTGTTAATGCTGTTCTGACACTAATTTGAGCATTTTTCTTTTAAGGATTAGTACACTTAATCCATATGACAATGTTGTTTGACATCCTGTTTAAGTATTTTAAATAGCTTTGGTTTTGATAAATTTCCACATATTAATAATCAAGTTAAATTGGAAGTAGGATTACATTAAAAATAACACTGCAAAAATGTTATAGCTATATGTTATTGCTATATACGTTGTTATGGTAAAAAATATCACCAACACATTGTCCCATCAAACCTTCCCAAACGATGGGTAGCTAATTATATTTCAGATTCTGTTTGCTTTAAGTCTTTCTTTTAAATTATGCTCCATTATGAACTGTAATGAAATCTTTTTTTCTGCTCCATCATTGTTATTCCAGTATGGCCTTAGTATATAAGTGTGAAATGAACAGACACATACAATTATTAAATGATAAGCAGGTATTTACTTTTATTAAAACTTATGATCACTTTATAGAAACTGGTACATCCTTATCTGAATACATTTCTCTGAATAACTACTCTTCACAACTACTGTGCACAACTCCATCACAATTTGTCTAGAATGACACATTAAAAACTAAAATTTTCCTACTGGTTTGGAATTCACTGCAAAAGTTGTTTCTTAGCTATTAGTCTTGAGAAGGTGATGCTATTTTTCTGTGTTTTTCATCATAGAATTCTTCAGATTATTGCAAAGCTGGTCAAGGAATTGTAGACTAGTATGCAGCCCAAAAGTGGCACAGTGGCCAAGCAGTTAAGATGTGGGTTTGTCGATCGGAAGGTTGGCGGTTCACGACCAAGTATTTGCATGAAGGAGTGAGCTTCCGTTACTTGCCCCAGCTGCTGCCAACCTAGCAGCTCAAAAGCATATAAATGCAAGAACATAAAATAGGTACCATTTTGGTGGGAAGGTAACAGCGTTCCATGGACCACATGCAGTCATGCTGGCATATAGTTACGCTGACCACATGACCACAGAAATGTCTTTGAACAGCACTGGCTTTTCACCTGTGACTCTGAGATGAGCACTGCCCTCTAGAATTGTACATAATTGGGAGGGGAAACCTTTACTTTTTTATACAGCCAAAGATACGTTATAAGTGGTTCCCAAAAGTTTTCCAGTTTCCTGATGCCATTTGCTTTCTGGCGCTGTAATATGTACCAGTTCACAGATTTATTGTTTATTGTCTCAAGCTAATTGAAGGACTATAAATGATCAAATCTAACCTTTTTAATCCTTCAGTCCAATATGTAATTCTCTTGTTTAAAATAAAATTTTGCAGACCTAACTAAGCTATTGAGATCCATTATAGCTTTTCAGTAATATGTTTTAGTTACAAGCTGCCTGTAGGAAATGTAAACAGAAGTTAGACTTCAGCTATGGTACTGTTAAGCTCCGCTTTCAGAATTGTTTACAAATGCCACATCCTTATTTTAATGTCAACAATATTTTTAAGATAATACTGTGCCAAAATCTATCTTATGGTTCCTCTGGTGTTTTCTTGTTCTCCAAAATATGTTTTCCCTGTTAAATTTATCAAGTTGCTTTTGAACTTTTTTTGATAGAACTTTTGAGCTTATTTTATCATTATTATGTGTTGATGGGTTCTTTTGTTTGTTTGCATATCTGTCCATTATTGCAGTCTTCCCCAAAACTAGCTACCTATGATTCCAGATCTGAATTTTTTTTTTATTAAAGTTAAGGAAGGCTAGAAAACTGATGATGGGAGAAGACTATATAATGAAAGGTGCGACATTTACCCCTAGACTGACTTATAACCATGATAAATAAAAAATCTCTTTATCTCAGACATCACATTTAACAAAAAATGTTAGTGTCTAAAAGAAAAAATTGAAAGCAATTTATTTTCTGTCAGAGTGAGTGGGCACGGTTGAGAAAATGCTAAATAAAGTTTCAGCATACAATTACTTTTAACAACACATTATTTTTGTAGGAATGATAAGGATACTATATTGTTGGCTAATAGCTATTACAGGAATGTGGGGGTTTAGTGTTCAATTAGGTCCCCCCCCCTCTAAATAGCATTGTTCCCATCTCATCACAAACTGGTTTGGGAAGCCGTATCTGAATAATAACTAATTTGCCATAGGACCTAGGATATTAAATGAATAACATTGCTTAATTAACAGAAACAAGTTTAGAACATTTCTGAACATAGAATATTATGAGCATTTCTTTGTAATACTGACCTTTGGTCTTCTGAATCTTTTATCATCTTAGATAAGTTATTTTGGAAGTCAATTTAGAAAAAAAAATATAATTCCATTCTTCTATTCCATTTTATATAACTATAAAACTTCAGTTGCAAGTTATTGCAGCATAGATACTATCATTTTGGTATAGTGGTTAAGGTGCTGGCCCAATAACAAGACTGTGGGTTCTAGTCCTGCTTTAAGCAGGAAAGCTGGCTGGGTGACTTTGGGCCAGTCATTCTCTCTCAGCCCAATCCACTCACAGATGTGGTTGTGGGGAAAATAGGAGGAGGAAATATGAAGTATGTTCCCTGCCTTGAGTTACTTATAAAGTAATAAAGGTGGGATAAAAAAAATCAAATAAAATTTATCAAAGAGAAACAGTTGCTTTGAAACTAAGTAAAAAATGTAGATTATTATATCAGGTCAAAATATTTTAAAGACAATTAGTAAGCTTTAAAACTTCATTAAACCATTGAAAAGGAAATATGAAGAGGTTTTACTACCTCTGCATTTTTTGAATTCTAGATTTTTAAAATCCTATTTAGGTCTAAACAGTTACAGCTAGGTAATTTAAAATTTTCTAAACAATTTTCAAATAATGGTAAAGGTTTTATAATATGGTAGTTGATATTAAACTTGTAGAAAAACAATTAATTCAAGTATTTGTTTATTTTTGTATAAGCCTAATATAATCTATTTTTCAGTTAAATACACATTTTCAATCTTGTTAAGTTTAGGCTACTTCAGCTGCTCTTTAACAGAGGCACGAACTAAAACAAGATTGTATCTTGATTTCTAATGTATTTACTGGCTTTATTGAAACTTCAACATCTATATTAATCTTTGAGATTATTTTTATTATAATTTTTAATTATTGGTATTGTATATAATTTTAGGATGACTACCATCGAGTAGTCAGCTTTGCATCCAAGAAACCACCACTTCCAGAAAGACCTGGTGAAGGAGGCTATAGTAGATATGAATATAGCCATGCTCATGTAGGCTATAGAGACTATGGTGAAGGTCGAGGTTTTGCCCACGAACGAAGGAGTGGACTACCACATAGAATTGTGAGTTTCCCTTTCATGATGAATATGTGACTGGAAGCTAAATATTCCACAACTGTTAGGTACAGCTCTGTGTTACATTAATAGTACTTAAAAATAATTTGGATATTTATACTTTATTCTATAATTCTGAAAATACTGTATTAAAGCAATTGTTCTTTTGAAATCCTGAAGATTAATGCTTAAAGCTTCCATCTCTTTGGAAAAAACATGAGAAAGAGCATTCGGCTTCAGAAGAGGAAGAGAATTCATTGACAAATATTGTCTGACATGCAAAAAACAACACTAAATGCATAGCAATCATCAGTTTGTTATAATGATATATTGGCTATTTCTTGTATAGCAATATATAAATCAGCCTCTTATTTTTGCATTTAATATTTGTTCAATGAATATTTATTTTTCCCTTTAAAATATATTAAATACATTTTAGTGGCACTGCTAAATTTCTTTTAATCAATACTTGTCGAAGAAATTACGACAATACTTTTTGAAGAAATTATAAATCATTCAGTGATGTTTCACAGTATCTTATTGCTATTGTTATTTTTTTTTTATTAAAAATTTTTAAGATTTTACAATAAAAACCCCTTCCCCGATCCCTCCCAACCCACCCCAAAACCCTCCCCCATTCTTCCCAGAGCTGAATACAGGCTTAACTAGAATTTAAAAGATAAAAAGTTTTAAACCCAAATAAACCTTAAACAAATATAATTACACCCAATAAACAAATTGTAAAATACTTTAACTCCATTATATATAAAAAAACAGAAAGGAAAAAAAGAAAAAGAAAATAAAAAAAATAAAAAATTAAAGAATAATAATAATTACACTTCTAAATAATATCTTGAACTTTAAATATAAATTATTCGAAAGCTAGATGATATTTTCTTATATCATACTTATATTGTATAAAATTTATCCATCTTTTCCACACCAAGAGATACTTCTCTTGCGATTGATCTTTCAAGAAAGCTGAAATTTTTGCCATTTCCGCTAAATAAGAGACTTTGAAAAACCATTCTTGCAGAGTAGGCAAAGATTCCTTCTTCCAATATTGCCCTATTAACAACCTAGCCACAGTAATTAAATTTAACATTAAAATAATCTCTTTGTCATCACAATCCGAAACAATACCCAACAGAAACAATTGTGGAGTAAATTTTATCCTTCTTTTAAAAATTCTTTGAATATTCCACCATACCTTAATCCAAAAAGCTTTTATATTTTTACATGACCACCAAATATGATAATAAGTAGCATCCAAGCAACCACATCTCCAACATTTGGGCTGTAGGTTTGAATACATACGAGACATTTTTTGTGGATCAAGGTTCCATCTATAAAACATTTTATAAAAATTTTCCTGTAAGTTTTGGGCTTGCGTAAATTTAACATTCCTCACCCAAATAATCTCCCATGTGTCTAATAGGATCGGTTCATCAAAATTTTGTGCCCACTTAACCATACAATCTTTAACTAACTCTGCTTCTGAATCCAATTCCACTAACACATCATAAATTCTTTTAATATGGGTTCAACTTTGATCTCTAATTTGTTTTAACAAATTCTCATCCTCTCTAAGCAAGCCCACATTATGATCTATCTTCCACCTTACCAATAGTTGTCTATACTGAAACCATGAATAAATAATATTTTCTTGTGCTAATTCATCCGTAGATTTTAATTGCCAATTTTTACCATCCCACTTAAGTAATTGTGTATAAGAAATAGTATCCATCTTAACTCCTCTCCTTATTCCTTCTATTGCATGCCATGGAATAGCCCATAATGGAATTCTTGAATCACTTCTGTAATATTTCTTCCAAACCCGAAGTAAAGAAGTTCTTAAGATATGAGATTTAAAAACCCTATCAACCTTTTTATTATAAATTAAATAGGCATGCCATCCAAAAAGTAAATCCCATCCCTCCAAAAGGAGTATATCTACATTTGTTAAGTTAACCCAGTGTTTCTCAACCTTGACAATTTTAAGGCATGAGGACTTCAACTTCCAGAATTCCACAGCCAGCAATGCTGGGAGTTGAAGTCCACATGCCTTAAAATTGTCAAGGTTGAGAAACACTGAGTTAACCCAATCACTGATTAATGTTAAAACCATGGCATCATAATACAATTTCAGATTCGGTACCTTGAGTCCACCTCTCTCTCGTATATCTTGTATAATTTTAAGTTTTACTCTTGGTTTTTTCCCTGCCCAGATAAATTTATTGATACCTTTCTGCCACTCATCTAAATTTGCTTCTTTCTTTAAAATAGGTATCATTTGAAACAAGAAAAGAAATTTTGGCAAAACATTCATTTTAATCGCTGCAATTCTTCCCAAGAGGGACAATTGCACTTTTTCCAATTGTCCAAATCCTTTTGTATTTTAACCCACAGCATTTCATAATTATTTTTATACAGTTTTGCATTGGAAGCAGATAAAATGACCCCCAAATATTTTACCTTATTAACAACCTCAAAGCCTGTCAATCTAACCAAGGTCTCCTTATCCAAGTTGGTCATATTCTTAGGCAATATTTTAGTCTTATTATTATTAATTTTAAAACCTGAAACTTGTCCATACTGATTTATCAATTGTAACAACTCCGTTACGAAATGAGTTGGTTGAGATAAAGTAACAACCAGATCATCTGCAAAAGCACTTAATTTATATTCTTTTTTATTAATTTCTATTCCTTTTATTTTCGATGATTCCCGAATTTTGATCAATAAAATTTCCAAAGTTAAAACAAACAGCAATGGGGACAATGGACAACCCTGTCTAGTCCCCTTTTCAATTGGGAATACCTCTGACAAGCCTCCATTAACTATAAGTTGTGCCGTTTGTTTTTGATAAATGGCTCGAAGAGCCTGTAAAATTTTATCTCCAAAGTTCATTTCCTCAACCAATCTTAACATAAATCGCCAATTTAATTGATCAAAAGCTTTTTCAGCATCTAAAAATATCAATCCTGCAGAGATTTGGTTGTTCTTATCCAGATATTCTATTAAGTTAATAATTTGTCTAACATTATTTTTCATATACCTTCCAGTTATAAAGCCAGTTTGATCCATATGTATTAATTGATTCAATACAATCATAAATCTATTAGCTAAAATTTTCGAAAAAATCTTATAATCTACATTCAAAAGAGATATAGGTCTATAATTCTTTGGTAGAGTAAGATCTTGATTTTCTTTTGGGATCAAAGATATAAAAGCTGTCCCCCAAGACAAGGGGGTCTCTAAACCCTGTAACATATTATTAAAAAGTTCCCTTAGAGGTTCTATCAATTCATCTATCAAAGTCTTATAATAAATTGATGTCAATCCATCAGTACCAGGTGCTTTACCTAACTTTAATTCTTTAATTGCTGTCACAATTTCCTCTATAGTAATCAATCCATTAATTTCTTGTTTCTGATCTTCTGTTAATTTAGGAAAATGAGCATCTTGTAGATATTTGTCTATATCTGAAACCTGTACTTTCCTACCCATATATAATTTTTTATAATAATCTAAAAAAGATTTCTTAATCAATTCCTTCTGGAATACCAATTTACCATTATAATTTATTTTATCTATAATTCTCAACTTCTGCTTCTTTCGCAATTGATAAGCCAGCCATCTCCCTGGCTTATTAGCATTACAAAATGTGTTATATTTCATATACAATAAATTAGTTGCAGTCTGATCTGCCATTAATATATTAAATTGCAATTTAAGCAATTTTATGGATTCCTTAAACTTTTCATCTGTAGGATTCAAAATTAAAAAATTTTCTTTTAATTTAATCTCATCTTCCAACTCCTTACGTTTCTGCACCTGTTTCTGTCTATAAGCCTTATTCATTTGTATCAAAACCACGCATGTAAGCTTTACTTGCATCCCATACCATTGACATTGAAGTTCCCTTATGCATATTTAAAGCAAAATATTCCTTTAAGTGCTCTTTAAGTTTCTGAACATTCATTTCTTGTCTAAACAAGTTTTCATTCAACCTCCAAGATCTCCTCTCCTCTTTTTCAGTAACCAATTCCATCCACACTAGACTATGATCTGTCAGTGTCCTTGGAAATATCTTTACATTCTTTACCCTAAAATATAAATCCGTTGTAATCAGAAAAAAGTCAATTCTTGAAAAAGATTGATGTCTGTCTGAAAAAAAGGTGAAGTCTCTCTCTTCCAAATTATGTTCTCGCCAATAATCTCGCAACTCCCAGTCCTCTTTCAAATCAAAAAAGGCCTTAGGTAATCTGGCCTGTTTAAAAGAAGTAGAAAGTCCTTTTTTATCTCTATATGTATCTAAAACTCCATTCCAATCTCCCATTAATATAACGGATCTATAATCCAATAAAATCAGTTTTTGATGTAACAACCTATAAAATTGTTCCTGTTCTTGATTTGGTGCATACAACCCTACTATAAGTATTTTCTTACCATACAATCCCACTTCAATCATAACATATCTCCCTTGAGGATCAGAATCTACTAAACAAGCTGATAAATTTTGCTTAACATAGATAACTACACCCCCTTTTTTCCCAAGAGCAAAGGATACAAAATGAGATCCCAATCGAGCATTAACTAAATATTTTTGATCCTTAGAGATAATATGCGTTTCCTGCAAACAAATAATATCATTATTATGTTGCTTCAAATAGTGAAATATTTTCTTTCTCTTCTGAGGGGAATTAAGGCCATTAGCATTCCATGTCAGGAGCTTTACCATCTCCCTCATCCAAAAGCCTGGAGAAGACTACTTGAAGATCTGCCATTGAAGATTGTACCGAAGATCTCTTAGGTCTTGCTCCTCCCACAGGCTCAGAAACAAATTCTTGTGGAACTTCTTTAACATCTTTCTTCTGTTGTTCCTTTTCCTTACGTCTATGCGCTGCCCGAGTCATTCTTTGCTCTTTCATCTCAGCTTGTCGAAACCACTCAGCCTGTGATTTTCCAGCTTTCATCAATACAGCTTCTTCAGACTGCTGTTCAACCTCCTTCCCATCCAAGACTTTAAACATTATAGGTGGTGATGAGCGTGCTCCCAGGACCGAAGTATAAAACTTCTTTGCTTTAAAAACAGTATTAAGTCTATAACGTGTCCCCGCATGGCTCACCACTATTCCAATCGGAATATCCCATCTGAATGGCATCTGCCTTTTTTAAAGTTCATCTGCTAAGAAAGCAAACTCTTTTCTTCTTCTTAAAATTTTAGATGGGATCTCCTTTAAAATTATAACATCTTGTGCAGCAATCTGAAACCTCTTATTGTAAAAAGCTTGTATGATTTCATTGCGCAAAGATCTTTTCCCAAAGTAAATTACCACATCTCTTGGCAGGTTTCTTTGCTTTGCAACCCAGGAGTTAACTCTAAATGTTTTTTCAATTTTCTCTGCCCAAGATCACAGCAAAATCATTTACTACCATCTCTCTCAGATCTTGTTGCATATCCTCTCTCAGGCCTCTGATTCTTAAAGCAAATTCCATCTCTCTATATTGAGACATAACAATTTCATCTTGTGAAATTTCCACCTTTTTTTCCATTCCTTCAAATTTTTCCTCCAACACCTCCACTTTATCTGCAACTTCTTCAACTCGAGAATCCAGTTTTTCAACCACAGAAGCAAGTCCTTTTAAAGCCAAAACTATATCTTACTCAAAATACTATTATTCTCCACTAAAAGCTCTTTCACTTCACCTCTAATTTGAGATATAGCATTTCCCATTATATCTTGCATATCTTTTACCGTTATTGATTGCAGAGGAGGAGAAGATCGTGGTGTGGCTTTAGGTTGTTGTGCTGGTAATATCGCAGGAGAAGAAGCCACCTTGGGTACAGTAGAAGTCACTTGATGCTTTGAAGCCATCTTCAAAGATTTATTTCTTCTTTCGTCCTTCTTGAGAAAAAGAATACAAAAAATACAAAAAAAATCCCTTAAAAAAGTAACGAAAAAAAGTTAAGCAGAGAGGGAAAATAATCCTCCTAAAATCCAAATCCACCTTCAGAAAATCATTATAAGTAATCAAATCCGTTCCGTTCCGTTCCGATCGCTTAAAAAGAAAAAAGCCTGTCAATCGCCATTTTACTTTCCCTCTCGGCAAAAAAAAAAGAAGAAGAAGAAGAAGAAAGGGAATAAAAGTAAATCTTTAAACTTAAAGTCCAAATAGAATTAGAAAAAAAATAAAATCCTCTATTCAGCTCTGTCCGCTTTTAAAATAACTCACCAGATCACTTTGATCGCGGAGGTGGGAGCGGCGTCTTGCTTTGTCCCTAGAGACAAAGACAGCTGAGAAGCGGAGACAATCTGAACTGCGTGGGAGCACTCTTTTCACCCCCAAAGAAAAATTCTTTGGGGGGTTTCAGAGGCTCTACCACTATTCAGATGATACTCCCCTCCCTCCCTTTGCCCGGGAAGGAGGTTTTGAACCGCAGAACAGCTGATGCCTGCTGTTCTCAGCGGTTCTAACACTTTCTCAGGAGGACGGCTACAAAGTAGCCTCCATCGCCAGCGCAAATCCACCGGAAGTCCTTATTGCTATTGTTATTGATAGTGAATGCTATTTATAGTTTCAATCTTTTACAGAGTTTCACAAAGGTGGTTTCAAGCATGAAAGAATATAGGTAATCACTGAGTTATGAACGTTTCCTTAGCAAACATTTGAAGTCACGCGATAAGCGCCCCCTAGTGTTTAGAAAAAAGTCCCAAAATTACAAATGTTGCCACACCATGGTAGTCGTTCACCCTTATGAATGACCGCTTAGGCACTGCAACATTCACCCTGGCTATTCCCTCCCCCCTCATCCCAGGTCTCCCTAGGCCAGTGGATACTCAACTTGCAAAGATCTAGAGAGTCTTTGCTTTCTTGGTTGTTTCCCTGCTCCAGTCCTTCGGTGCATTCGCAGAGAATGGAGGCCTACCGTACTGCAAGATCACGAGAGATCAGTAGCGCGAAATCGCACACTACTGATCTTGTATGATCTCACAGTACTTTGGCCTCTGTTCTCTGCAAATGGAGGCCTGGAAAAGATCTGTGGCAAAAGACTTTGCAAATGGAGGTAAAGGCTGAAACATCGAAGCCTTCCCTCCATTTGCAAAGCCTTTTGCCATCTTTGCAAAAAGCCTCTGCCGCTGAGAATGGAGCCCCAGGTTAACACAGAAAGGCCTCTGCTGTTCAGAACAAACCTCTAGAGCTACATGGCCACCGCCCCTGACCTCCGTCTGGGCAGCAGAGGCCTGGAGGAGGCTTCCAATGGCCATAATGGATCTCTGAAGCCAGGCAGCCACTGCCCCAGCTCCTTTCTGGGCGTCGGAGCCTCTGCCGCCCAGAATGGAGGTTGAGGGTGGCAGTCTGCATGACTCCGGAGGTCCGTTCTGGGCATTGGAGGCCTCCAGGTCCCTACTGCCCAGAACAGAGGTCAGGAGTGGCGGCCACGTGGCTCCAGATGTCTGTTCTGGGTTGTAGAGGCCTACTCCAGGATAAACACTTTTCGGCTAGAGGCTGAAAGCTTCTGGGGGCCATGATCTTGTGCTCAGGCACTCATCCGCTTTTGCAGAGAATGGGTGCCTCACTTCCTGCGAAATCAAGGCATCCTGAATCTTCCACGTTCTGCGTGAAAAGTGCACACCAACAGGAGGCTTGAAGCAATGTGATTTTGCTGCCCAAACCTCCCTTCGGCATGCAAATGTTTTTCCGTGCCGAGCCTGAAAGCCTTTGGAGGAGACTCAACGAGGCTTCCCGCCACTCCAGAAGTGGCCAGCATCCCGGTGAGTCAGAGAAACCGAACAGGGTGAGCTCGTTCTGCTCTCCCTCTGCTCTAGTGGGAGCAGACAAATAAACAGGTTGGAGAGGAGACAGATCTTCACAAGGTCAATGACCTGGTGCAGCAGGATGGGGGGGAAGAGCAATTGTGGGCAGCCCAGGGGAGGGAGGATGAGGTATTTCAGTGGGTGGGGGGAGGCCTTGGGTGGTCTGAAGCAGGTGGCCTGTTCCAACACTAGGCCCCCATGGCCTTTTGCACCCTGAGATACCTCATGTTAATGAGTTAATGAGTCACACATTCGCCCACGCATTAAATTAGTGAATGCATGGACAAAAGCAGCGAGTGATTGCATTCAAGGTAGGAGATTCACTTCTACGAATCCTCGAGTTACGAATGGAATGAGAAGGCTCCATTCCATTCGTAACTCAACTACCTGTACCAGAAAACCTGAAAATATAAGCATAAACCATATGTGCTCAAAATGGTTTGAGAAATAAGTTCTTTGTATACATCTAGCTATTAAGTTTATTTTTGTCATTGCAAAGTATTGGTAAAAGTCTTTGGGAAATTTGTCTAAAAATATGTAACTAGAGCCTAACAACTCTGCAAATTAAGATAAATTCATTCAAATCTGGTAACTATTGGTTAGACATAGTTTTTTCTAATAGAAAATGAATATCTTTTAGCAGAACTTCATCTACCACATTTCTTTGAAAATGTGAATGTTCTTCAGTTTGATGGCTCATAAACTGTATGAGTTATGTTGCATCCTGTATTTATATACAGTGCAGCTATGTATATCCATATATCTACCTCCCTGTATGCTCACACATATATCTTCATACAGGGAATTGTTTATTCCCCATTTTATTTCCTTTTATTGTTATTCTTGCTTCATTTTTCCAGAGTTACCAGTTTTCATCTAGTACAGTGGTTCTCAACCTGTGGGTCGGGACCCCATTTGGGGTCGAACGACCATTTCACGGGGGTCGCCAAGCAAGGCTGTCCGCCATTTTTTCCCCCTTTTCTTTGGCCACGCCCCTGGCACCTGGTGATGTATAAGTGGTTGGGGGTCACCACAACATGGGGAACTGTATTATGGGGTCGCGGCATTAGAAAGGTTGAGAACCACTGATCTAGTAGATATGTTATTTTATACATGGTACTAAAGGAAATTATTTTCTTGAAACTAAACTTTTCTTTATGCTGAAATATTCTATTGTAGGATGATCCAGGATATAGATGGTCAAGGGAAGACCATCCTGATAGTCGGCCACCTGATTATAGGTACTGTTTTTCAATTTAGCTAAATAAACTTCTGAAGTCTCTAGAATAAAAAATGGAAACACAGTTTGTGTATATTTACATTACTTGGTACTCTGAGATTTGACTATAGGCACCCAGGAGAGTCCAGCAAATTGAAGTCTTCAGTGACAAATGATTACCAAAAAAGCTGGCTAATGAAATCTCAGAACCATTGTCATTTGAAAGATATAGCAAAGCATAGATGAGATATTACATGATTTGAAAGAGGCAAATATCTCAGTCTTTTAAATTTGAAAAATCTATGTTTGCTTACTGGTTTAATTTCAGAATTAACTTAAGATACCAAAACATACAAAATTTAAAGAGATGAAATGTTGACATGATGCAATGAAAGTATACATTTGGGGTTATAGGTATTCTTCACTTAATGAGATCTCATTTAGCGGCTGTTCAAACTTATGATAGTGCTGAACGAGTGGTAATTATGAGCAATCCTTGAAGATATGACCATCCCCTGCAGTCACATGATCACAATCTGGACACTTAACAAGACTGGAATTAAAACCTTTACCTTGTCCACATGTTACATGATCACAATTTCTGACATTCCCTGCCGATTTTCCACAAGCAAAGTCAATAAGGAAGCCAACAGGAATTGAGAAGTCACAATCACACAAAGTCCTTATTTAATGATTTGTGATAACAAGGTCATTAATGACCTGCTTAATAATAGCAACCGGGGACTGCCAGGATTGCCATCACTAAACAATGCAATTGTGATGTTGCATTTCACAACCGTATTGCTTAACAAAGAAAATTCTGGTCCTGAAGTGGGGACTACCTGTATTCTTTATACTTTGCTATACTGCTTATGTCTTCGATGTGATATTATGATTTATTATTTTATTGTGATCTTTACGCCATCTAATCCTTAATATTTTATCAGCAACATGTCTGGGTTCCAATATTTAGCTTACAAATACATGTTAAACTCTTTCTCTCTACCTCATTTTTCTAGCCATTGATAAAATGTATCCCATGTTCTGAAGTTTTCTGAATCTTCTTTTTCTTTTATTTTCAATGTAAGTCTGTCCATTTCTGCACAGTGCAAAATTTTCTTAATTATCTTTTACTCCGCTGGTAATTCTCGCTGCAGTTAGTACATGTAACATTCTTTCTCATAATTGTCTACAATCATACCTAACAAAAATAATTCTGACTAAAAATCTACATGTTTTTTTATCATTTTCTCTAACCATATACATATATTGACCAAAATCTTTTGGCTTTAGGGTATGTCCACCAAAGATGATGGTATATGCCTGGTTTTTGTCTGTATTTCCAACAATGACTAGACATATTTTAAACATTTTTGCTAACCTCATAGATGTTAAGTGCCATCTGTAAAACATTTTATATGGGTTTCCTTTGTAAGCCACTGCCTTTGTTATTTTAGAGTTTCTTTCCCAAAGGCTTTGCCAGTTTTCTGACTCTATGTTATGCCCAAAGTTTTTTGCCCATATTATCATTGTTTCTTTAACTTGTTCCTCTTCCATCTTTAAACTTAACATATACTTATACAGTTTCTTAATCAATTTTTCATCTGATATCAATAATATCTTGTCAAATTATGTCTGTTCTTTATAAAATCCAGATGTTTTAGCATCTTTTTCATATCTTGTTTGAATTTGCAGGTGTGGCCACCATGATAGATCAATGCCCTGTTCTTCCAGTTCTTGTCTAGATTTTAATTTCCCTTCATTATTCAAAATGTCTTTATAAGTCACAGTTTTCTCATAGTTAATCAGGATTGGGTGAACAAACACTTCCATTGTTGAAAACCATCCGGGTATTTTCATGTAAATTTTCACTTTTACCTTTTCCCATTCTAGAAGAAGTGCATTTCTTGTATGGTGGTTTTGAAAGTATCTATGTATTTTATTCTTCCCATACCATAGGAGGGTATGCCATCCAAGTTGTAGGTCATGCCCCTCTAGGTATAGTAATCTTTTATGTCTTAAGAGTTATCCATTCTTTTAACCATGTTAATATAGATGCTTGATAATATAAAGCCCAATCTGGCAGCCCAAATCCTCCATTTTCTTTTGCTTCTTGTAGCATTTTCAATCTAATTCTGTTTTTTTTTTCCTTGCCAAATAAATTTCAAGATCAAGATTCATTAAAGAATTTTATTTCCAGTTTTATATGCTTGAAATAAGAAGAGTAATTTTGGTAAAATATTCATCTTCACCATTGCTATTCTCCCTAGCATTGAAAGTTGTAGATTTTTCCATTTTTCCAAGTTTTATTTGTTTTAATAATTTTATGTAATTGTCTTCTTTTATTGTTGCATATCTTGCTGTTAAGTATATCCCCAAGTATTTAACTTTAACTATTTGAAGATCTCTTTTTTCTGGCAGTAGATTTTTTTTTTATCTGTAAGGTTTTTGGTTATCACTTTGGTCTTTTCTCTATTTATTTACAGTCCTGCCACTTCTCCAAATTCATCTATCTTTTTCAGAAGTTTGAGGCTTGCCTCAAGCGGCTCTTCTAATATAAAAACCAAGTCATCTGAGAATGCTTGTAGTTTATATTTTTCATCTTTTATCTCCATTCCTTTAATTTCTGAATCTTGCCTAATATTTCTATTCAATACTTCCAGTGTTAATATAAATAATAATGGGGATAATGGACATCCTTGTCCTATGCCTTTTTTAGTATTAAAATTTTCTGTAAAATCTCCATTTACGATTACTTTAGCTATTTGTCTATGATAAAATGTTCTAATTATATTTATAAAGTTTTCTCCAAAGTCCATTTCTTTTAGTTATTGAATCATAAATTGCCAATTTACATTATCAAAAGCTTCTGTGCATCTAGAAATATTAGTGCCATCTCCTTCCCTGGGTGCATTTCGTAGTATTCCAAGTATCTAAAACCATTCTTAAATTATTTTTTATTTGTCTCTTAGGTAAAAATCCATTTTGCTCTGTATGTTTAAATTCAATCAAAAATCTCTTTAATCTTTTTGCTGTTACTGAAGCAAAAATTTTATAGTCCATGTTTAATAGGGATATTGGTCTATAATTCTTTATCTATGTCAAGTCTGAATCTTCTTTGGGTATTAAATGTTGGCTTCTATCCAAGTATTTGGTATTTTAGCCTTTAAAAAGTACCTCATTACACAGTTCTTTCATTAATGAGCTTAATGTATCTTGTAGGCATTTATAAAACTCTGCAGGTAGCCCATCTGGACCCGGGGTCTTATCAATTTTTTTTGCCTTTTTATGGCCTCCCTTACATCCATCATTGATATTTTTTCATTTAGCATGTTTTAGATGTTCTCTGAAATTTTTGGTAAGTCAGATTTTTTTATGTATTGCTTTATTTTTTTCTTGAGAAGTTTCTTCTATGTCGTAAAGTGTCTCGTAAAAGTCTTTGATTATTTAATTATGTCATTTTGGAATTGTAAATCACCTTTTGAAAAATGTAAGAGCTCTTTCTGATTTGTAAGGAGGGATATGATAAAATTCCTCCAAGCCAATGTGCAGGTCTGATCAATGGTTATTGGAAATGTTTAGTTGCAGTTATTTCTGCCCTAAGGGATCTATTTAACCCTTTAACTTAGCCTTTAATTTTCCAAAATCAACCTTCAATTCTCTTTTGTTGTTTTCCAAAAACTAAAGTTTTTCTTTTTAATTCTTAAACTTACATTAATCTTTTTAAATCCAGAATAGAAAAAACTTTCCTGGCATGAGTGAACCTGTCTTTGAGAAAGTTCTTAACATTCAGAAAATCAGTAATAAGCAACTTCCTAAAGAAATTAAGAGAGGAGGTAGGTGAATCTGCTCTCTATTTGAAGATGCTCAACCATGGCTTAGACCAGTGGTTCTCAACCTTTTTAATGCCGCGACCCCCAACCGGTCGTAAGTCGAGGACTACTCAACCGGTCGTAAGTCGAGGACTACTCAACTGGTGCAGCACCGTTTGCAGAATGGGACTTTTGGCGGGCTCAGCAGGGCAGAGACAGCCTGGACAATTCCTATTGGCTTTTGAAAGCCAATAGAATTAGACTCTATTCAAGAGAGTCTATTCTATTGGCTTTCAAAAGCCAATAGAATAAAAGGGAGTAGCATAGCTAAGGAAAAGGGGGGGAAAATGGTGGACTGCGTTATTTGGCGACCCCCATGAAGTGGTCGTTCGACCCCAAATGGGGTCCCGACCCACAGGTTGAGAACCACTGGTTTAGACAAATGGTTCTCCAACACTGGAGATGGATAATCCACTCAGTGGGTTGAGACTGTATTCCTGCCCAATCAGATCAGTCAGCCAAAGTTGTCACGCCTGTCCTGGACCATGTGATCCCAGTCTTGACTGATCTCGCCCAGAAGACAGACGTTTTCAACTTTGGCTCCTAGGCAGGTATAGTTTCTTTCCATTGGTGGATTATTTCTCCAGTAGCTAGGATTTTAGCTTAAGCTGGTTGGAATTAAATAGGTTTAATCTGATTGAATACTCTAAAATTTCTAAATTCTTCTAAAGGGAACTGAAATTTAGACTCCTAAAGGATTATCTCCCTAGTTAAGGAAGGGAGTAAACCCCTTAGAATCCCTCCCTGACCCAATCCCTCTCCCTCTGCTATCCACGTCGGGCCGGTTTTTAACAAACGTTAGTTCCGCGGGGGTAGCAGAGAGTTAAAGGGATGCACGCGCGGGGGGAGGGAAGTCTGGGGACGCTTGCGGGCGGCGCTAAGCAGCTGGGGAAGCGAGTCGCTGTTCTCTTAACTCACCAGGCACTCTCCGGGACTTTTAAAAGAGCCACCATTACAGGGGTGGCTCAGCGCATGCGCGGCCTTTGTCTTCCTTACGCACGTGGCACAGGTAACGGGGAGCTACCGCGCGTGCGCGGTAGCCATTTTAACGCATGCGCAGTAGTTTCCGGCCTACGGGGGCCATTTTTTCAGAACAAACAAAGAACCATAAAATCATGCCAGCCAGCAAGTGCGCACGCGCGGCCGGAAT